CACACTTAACACATACACCAATTCCTAGGCAACGGCTCAGGCTCAGGTAGACATCAGTCAGATGTTGGGGTACTTGGCATTGCCCCTCAGTCCCTACCCCTACCCTTGAAGCATTCTGTAGAAAGCTGTAGTTTGTAATAAAGTGGGTAACCTTCATCTCAGAACATGCTCAGGGATCATGGAGACAAAATTTAGATACCAGGAAAAGAAAAAGATTGATGTTTTTTAAAGTTTTTTAAAATGATACAATTTGTCAGCCATAAGAAGGAAAAAAGTTCTTATAATTCGAGCCTCGGAACATTTTTATGACCTGAACCAAGCAAAACATATGTTGAAAATATAGTTTTCCTCTACAGCTTTCCCCTACAGCTTTTCACCAAAGGATATCTTATTCCTCTTGAAAATGAAAATTTCTCTTGGCTTGTGATGGTATAGCAGTTTGAGTTCCAAGTACTCCCAGCCTTTTTCTCTGAAACAAGGACTCCAGCTGGGAAGTATGACAGCTAAGATCTGGGAGATAACTTGAGAATGAAGTCGCGTGGGTAATGGACTGGGCTCTGATGTGGTAGAAAGAGTTGGGCAGTTGGGGTTCTACTCCCAGCTCCATGAACCCGAGCAAGGCATCTGATGTCTGTGGGTCTCACCTTCCTAATTAGTAAAAGGGTTTGTGAAATCAGAAGGATGAGACCGGCTTCCTTGGGGGACTCTGAGAACCAGCTGAGGCACCGTGAATGTGTGAAGCCCAGGCAGGACACAGTAGCAGCTCAGTAACGAGCAGCTTCCCTCCAGTTAGCCAAGAGTAAGCCAGAGCAGAGCAGAAAGAAGGGTCAGCTTCCATATCATTTATCACAGGGTGAGAGGAGATCCTTAAACCAAAACAAAGACTTATTTATCTTAAGGCTCAGGCTGCAGAATAGACCTTCTAGGATTGGTGTGTTTATTAAACTGGCAGGAAATCAGTTATTCAATGAGAATTAATTTTATACTAAATAACAAGAAGAGTCTTGCATACCATGACAGGCACTTAACAGATGGTAGTTTTTAGAAAGTCTAAATGAAGAGCTGAACCACCCTGCCCAATTCTTCAGAGAATAATGCTGACATCTTCACCCATTTCTGAAATTGTCACCCGATCCTGCCATTTTCTTACCTGAGTCACTGCAAATAAAACACAGGCATCACCAGTGGAGAAAGTTCACTCACTCTCCCTACTGATCCTACCAGGTCCAATAATTCATCCTTTAGAGAAAGTAAGTATGGATCTGTGTTGCAGGCAGGGTGAGAGGAGAGGGCAGAAGCAATGAAGATGACTGTAAAATCAGAACTGTTAAATGCCAGTCCTAAAGAAAAGCCCGAGCGAATGTAACAGGCCACCTCGGGTGCACAGCATGCACTGCGCTAGAGTGTGGAGCTGAGCACTGGGCGGAGGCATGAGCTGTGACACAGAGAACAGCTGCAGGGCATGTGCTCTCTTGGTTGTGTGAACTGAGAGATGTTTACCAAATTTGGGAGCAAGAGAGCTAATCACTTTATGAGGTCTTAAACAAGACATTTAAATCCTGGGTGCAGCACTGGTGTTGGTACAGGGAGTGTCTGAGAAGCCTTTCTAGACCGAGAGAACCATTATATGTTCTTGGTAAACAATGGTAACAAATGGACATTTGTGTTATATGTGACCTAAGGGTTAACAGAGGGCACGATTCTGCAGTGAACAGAACAGAGGAAAACTGCGGGCAGCCATCGGCAGCCAGGTCTATAGATTGGTCTTGTCTTGGCTTTGGCTTTTTCTGAGGAACCAGACTGCCTTCATCTGTTTTTGGTAGAGGCAGAGCCAAATAATTTCAGAATATAGAAATAACAGGGCAAATCCTTCTCCACTACTGGAGAACCATCCTGAAGCATGTAGGTAGGTCTAAGGGTCATTTACATAGACCTTTCCCATTAGATGCCAACACAATTAGTAATGTGGCCCAGATGGGAGACCTCCTCAGATGGCTCTCAGCTGGAGTCAAACAGATTGACACGTCGCACGTCAGGTTCCAGCTCTGTGTGCTGAATGCAACTGATTTCTTTTATTTTTATCAATCTTTGGACCTAAACTAAGTTCATTCAACTCAGAGCAATTGACAGAGATGACATAGGGTACACTCTTCCCCCACAGTTTTTTTTCCTTTCACTGGTTATAAATACCTCCACGCTATTGTGCTCAGCATGCTGTATGCAAATGGGGGCAGGAGTCCTAAGCTCATTAGGAAAGGGATGGAGGCTTGGAGCATGGAGAGGACAGTACTGAGCCGAAGCTGATAACAGTGGCCTTGTCCAGAATAGTGCATGGGAGCTTTCTTATCTCGCTTTGGCAGGAGGTGCTGTGGACTTCCTGTGCGAAATCAGGAGTGAAGGCTGCTTTCCTCTTGTTGTTCAGCTTCCTCCCCCTCAAGACGGTTCCCAGCACAGTGATTATCTTTGCATCTTCAAACATGGCACAATCTACTTCCTTAAAGGCTTGATGTATTCTTGAGGCTTAGGCAAATTCCCCTCCCCCTAAATCTCTTTTCAAGTGCTGTTAAAGAGTCAGGCTCCTAAATGACATTCTATTTTTATGGTTCCAATCACAAAGAGAAAAATAACAGGCCCTAAATTAGGAAAGAGTCACAGAATCTGTCCTTTCATTTGGAAGACCTGGCAGTAAGCTGGGCCTATGGTTTCTACACCGGGGCCATGTAGCTTGTAACTGCCCTTGGAGTCACAGGTAGAGGGAATGTTGCGGGGAAGGTGCAGGTGTCAGAGGTCAGCAGCCTCAAGTGAACTCAGACAGCAGACTATATTTCCCTTACTCTAACATATTTCTTTGTACTTCCTGAAGGCCAAGTACTGTATATGAAATTCTGATCTTTGACTAAGACTCCTCTTATTTTCTTCATTGCTTTGGGGGAAAACAATGAAAACCTAAAGCCTTCCTCTTTCAGGTACCAGAGAATCTAAGCCTTCTAATGTCATGATCTCAAATGCAAGTGCAACATCTAACTAAAATACAAAAAAAAAAAAAAAAAAAATACACGCGAAAGGTGGGAAGTCAAACAGTAGCTCAATGTATGGATGTTACAGTCTAGCAAATAGAGAACGTTCATAATGAAAAGCAGGACAAAGTGACTTATATAATGATTTAAAAACTATTTTAAAGTGTTTCCAGTAGAAGAGAAAGTATATAGTTTCTGCTTGGTTCAGTTATCTCTACTAATCAATGAGACTTAAAAACATTCACTTACCTTGCCTGATGATTACCCAGGACAGCTAGTAGAAATCCCAGAAATTCCTTAAGGAATGGTCAGCCTGTAATCTAATTGCAAAAACAGGCATCTTTATAATATTTGGAGAAATCTGAAATGTGGTATAGGATTGATTACTATTTCTGTTAGGTATAAAATTATATTATATTCTGTTAGGTTATAATTATATTAGAAAAGATGCAGTTTTAGAAATGCCCACTTACGTATATAGCTAATATAATGTGAGTCTGGCATTTGCTTTAAAGATACTTCACAAATGAAAAAAATAAAAATAAAAATAGGGGATAGCAAGGAAAGGATAGAAAATCTTGATTATTGAAATCTGGCTGGAGGTGTAGCTCAGTGACAGAGCACTTGCCTATGTACAAGTCCCTCGGTTCTATCCCCAGCACATGTGAGCACACACACACACACACACACACACACGCACACACGCACACACACATGCACACGTGAGCACACATACACACAAATCTGGAGATAAGTATTTGGTGGTTTATCACACTGTGTTCTCTACTTATCAGTATGTTGGAAAATAATAAACAATGAAAACGTTCTAGAAATAGAACGTATCAGGTACCTCGTGCTTGCCTGTGTGTTTACAAATGTTTGTGGAGTGTACATTACACTGGGACCCTGCTTAGCTAGGGAGGCTGAGTGAATAAATGAAGACAGCGACTGCCCCTTGAGGCTCTTGGTGCAGAGGCTTTAGAAGTAGTGGAAAAGCGGACTTGTGCTGTGTTGGATGGGGTCATAGGACATCACGGGGACAGAGGGGAGGCTAACCAACAGCCTGGACACAACGTTGAGAACCATTTTCAGCCCAAGGAACAGGGAAGATTATTAACGAAACTTTTTTCTGGCTCTCACAATCCCTTTACCTTCCACTTTATAAATAATCTTTACATAAATGATTTATCTTCACATAAATCATTACTGTTTTTACCTACTTACTATCTACCACTCATTATTCTGGAAACAAAATTCTTCCTGGCATGAAAAATTTCCAGAATCGGCCCAAGACATGCATTCAAGATTAACAAGCTTTCTAATCACCAAAAATTCTAGTCCAGAAGGTAAGAATGCAAAATGATGAAATGCTTAAAAGGAGACTTCGCAGAACTTGTAGATAAACAGCATCAACACCCTCTTTTATGATTAAACACTTGAAGCCTAACAATGTCAAGAGCTTGCCATGATACCCACAAAACTTGAAAGAAATATACAGAATTTAATAACTACCCCCAAAATGCTTGTTTCCAGGTGCATTTAATTAGCCTTAAAAAAATTAACAGTACTACTGAATATTCCAAGTAAAAGCCAACTTTTCATGCATGTGAGATACTGTTAATTCCTCAGTGTTTCTGTTCATTAACATAACTTCATTTTCCCCTGTGTGTGCATGTTATTACCTCTAGGAACTAATTAAAGTGTAGGTATTAAATTTCCTAATCTATGCATTTTTCTTTAATATTTAGAACAGGATCAATGTACGGCAGCACACTGTTTGGTGTTGCTCCTATCAAGCAAATATATTGGGTATTTTTAAGTTCTGAGGATAAACATAGGAAAGAAAATCAAAGGAAAAGAAGATTTATATAAAATTTGTATCTTTGCTATCTGAGAACTTGCCCAATGGTTTTCACTTCACCTGTTACCCCTGACTGCCCCAGGCTGCAGAACAGCATTGTAATGACTTATTTTTTTCAATAGGTTTGACTTTTGCTCCAGTCACGAAGAGTCCTATCTCTTGGATGCTAACAGCAACATAGGCAACAGAATTGAGAGCATCACACAGCGCATAGTAACAACAGAAGGAAAGAATAAGGTACAGTTTGTTAATATGGGCATTGGGGTAGTCTAAAAATATATACTCATCTCCCAGTCCTAGGTTTCTTGGAATAAGAAATAATTCAAATGCTCAAATAAAATTCAAGGAAAAGCAAGACAATATTTGAGATATGTCATGGAGACATACATCAAGATGCTATATTCTGCAAGTGAACCCCAGTTCTGAATGGAATAGATAGATCTGAACCCTTGACTCTCAGATCGCTCCATCAGTGGTTCTCAGTCTTGTCTTCATACTAGATCCACCCAGTTAGCATTATATCCAAATCTCCAAACTGAACCCCTGGGCCCGTGACAGCCTTCCATGCGATCTCAGCCTATAACTAGGTCTGAGAATCACCTGCACGCATAAGTGGGAGGGTAGCAAGCAAAAGCCAGTACAAGTCTTTAGGCTAAAATTGAATGTTTTGGTTATCAGTAGTTCTCATGTTTTTCCATCTTTTCCAGGGCAGAGCCTAAACTGGGTTATGCAAACACACAGTCTATCAGGCTGTCTCAGCCTAGTCCAGTCTAGAAGGCATTTGTTTGTCCTGTCACTCTCGCTCCATTCATTTTCTACTCCCCTAGCCCTTTCTGAGCTCAGTAATTGATGATGCCCTGCAAACCAAGTGAGTCTCACAAGACTGAAAATCTACTCACTGTTAAAAAGTTGCTATTATCAGGTATAAGAATAGCAATACTTCAAAAAATAAATCAATCTCTTGGGCCAGGGATATAGCTCGTGGCATAGTTCCTGCGTGGCAAGTGCAAGGTCCTGAGTCCAATTTTTGATATATTAAAAAAAAAATCAGTCTCATGCTAAAATGTCTTTACACATTCATATCTTGATTTGGAGAAGGGATTGTTAATATAGACACCACTATCTGCTCAAGCGTGATTATACCTAGACTACCTATTAACAACTATATTCTTTGCACTTGAAGATAAAAAGGTAGGTAGCGTCATTCTCTATGTAGGATTTAACAGTATTTTTCAGTATGTAATTCCTTCTGACATATGCTAATGTTATCATCATTCTTTGCCAAGCCAGGGTGGTTTTCTCCATTTTGAAGATAAGAAAAATGAGGTTGATAAGACTATTAACCCAAAGCCACAGTTTAAAAGTGTAAATGAGAAGCAAAGCAAAGCATTGCAATTCAATACTAAGGTCTGTCACAGTTAACTTAAAACCAATGCAAAAATTAAAATAATAGTGCTAACATAACATCAAGAATCACTTATCAAGGGTTTAGGAACAGTTTTATAGCTATAACAATAGTGGTAGGTGATTTTATAACTTCTTCTCTAACGCAGATGGACAGCAGTTGAAAACATTCCATGATGAATAGCTTTTGATGAGAGAGCCATGTAATGATAGAAATAGAGACAATTCTATAAAATTTCAAAGTTTACTTTGGGGGATATTACATCTTAGGGGCATTATCTCAGGTTATTAGCAATTTGCAGTAATTAGTTGTCACAAAATACTAGGGCTATTTCAAGATGTCATGAGTAGCCTCTATTCATTTTGTCTTTTCCTGACTTTTTTGAGTATACAGATCATTTACTGCTGGACATTCATAGTATGAACTTATGGGTATAATTGTAGTAGTAACTTCTGGTCTTATTTTGATAGCTTACCCATAAAACGGTACAACAGGAAATTAAATGAAAAATGAAAATGCTGAATAAGATTTCTAATCAGTTTGAACTATGAAGTAGTAATGAATACTATGTGATACCTATAGAAAGTGGTAGGAGTGGAGTATAAAAATGTTACTGAGCTAGAAGGACTTTCCACATTTTGTCATGTGGGCCTAAAACAAATGTACTATCTTTTTTAGTTAGGAAGATTTTTAAATATATACTTCTGCACACAGTTAGGACTTAGGCCATCTGACGTGCATTCAGGAGCCCAGGGTTAAGTTCTGCCCTTTTAAATCTACAAAACCATAGGGCTGGAGCTATAGCTCAGCAGTACAGTATAAGGGTGTGAATTCAATTCCTGAGACCAAAATAAATAAATAAATAGAATTTAAAAATCTATAAAACCACTTGCAATCAGTTTCTTTTTCCTGGAATTCTGCCCTCCAAAACTGGTCCTAATGGTATTTGCCCCACTTAGCTTCCTATTATAGTGAGGAGAAGAAATAATAGGGAGAAAGTAGTATTTGAAAAATATACCAGCCACATACCCTGTAATACAATCAATCCCCCCAACTGATTATAATTATATGTAATAAAGATTTTTGTTAATGCAAAAATTACTTGCATTAAGTAAACTTTTAATACTCTTTTAAAACAAGATTTAGAGGTGGAATATGAGCAGGTGCAATGGTAACTCATTAGATTTAGAATAAATTGTTTATTTCATGCTCCATAAAAACTCATTTGAGAGTTTGCAGCTTTTACTACTTTTACTTTTGAATTAACTCATTTGTCTTTTTGTGTGTTCCTAAAGGTATTTTTCAAATGATGATGACATAGAAATTTTGCTACACGTAGTGCTCTTCCCATCTGAAACTGTTCTCTTTTTTGGTACATTTTTAGAAATTAGGTCTGGATTTAGACGATGACGGTGCCCTTAATTGCTATCACATGGGCACAGGCAGCCCAGGCACCAGTGCCCTCTAGGGATCAGGGACCTAGGACTTACACTGGGGAACTTGTTGAATTTCGGGAACTTGTTGTCTTTGTCCCTTTTTTTTTTTTTTAAACTCACAAAAGGGTATAAATGAAAATGAAATTCGGTTTTCTTATGGCAAGTTGGGGTCCAGAATTGTGGAATGTGGGTCCATCAGTTGCAGCAGTTCCTAGAAAATATGAAGCTTTCATCGTGTAAAGCATTATGGCGTTACTCCTATAAGGCTGGAGAATCGTGACTGTTGGAATGTAGCATGTCCACTGAGATGAAGGCCCGTCACGAAGTGTGTGCACTATGTGACTCAAGGCCACAACTGCAGTACTTACCACAGAATTGTTATTTGCATTTTAATTCTCACACAGCCCCCAACTTGTTCTGTTTTCCCATAAATTGCCTCTAATGTACCTATGTTAATTTTAGATCCCGCCATGCCCTTTGTACATCCACTTTTATTTCTCCCTAAAACACTTCGAAGCAAGTTAAATTAGAATCATTCCAAAATTAAAACCACTGCTCCATATATAGACTTCTTAAAAACTAGTACTGGAAGTTAGGCTGCGTGACACATCACTCCATTCATGCTATTCTCTGATGTTGAAATGACATTGCAGAAGTGAATTACTAATGGCTAGAGAAAGGGAAGGAAGGAAGGAAGGAAGGAACATGAAACACCAAACTTACAGTACTTGACAATGATCTCTATGAGTGTTCCTCTGCCATATAAAAAAAGAGGGGAACAGACTGGAAGGATCTGTTCATAACATCTAAATCTCTGTGGTCCCAGCAAGATTTCCTCCAAAGCAGAAGTACCCCAAAGCAGTGAAAATAAAGAGCAAAACATATGACTCCTTTAAGAATGCAGAATTATACTGGACTTCAAACCTCACTGAGAGGTTGCTAGGGATTGAGCTACCTTCAGCCCCACAATTAAATTTTACAGTGTTGTAATTTAGTGTCTTCCTATATGAGGCAATGTAAGTTTCAAATAGATGTGAAAGGACTGATACTCACTATCTTCTACTAATAGGAAGCAGGACATTCTAATTTTATTTTAGTACTTTTAAAAAAATTTCTCAGGGATGAGGAGATGGCTCAGTGGATTAAGTGCTTCCCTGGCAACCGCAAGGGCCTGAGTTCAAATTCGGTTTTGGAAAAAAAAAAAAAATCTCAGTCCTCTTTTGCTTACTTTCAATGTGGAAAATGAAAAATAATAATAGAAGTAATAGAAGCAGATAACTGCAAGAATTTCTTTTGGTGTTCTTTGTAAAATAAATGATCATGACTTCGTTTGGGGGGTTTTTTTGACCAGAGATTGAACTCAGGACCATGTGCTTGCCAGGCAGACACTCAAGCCTGCTTAGCTATCTCTCAGTCCCTATGACTTTAAACATATGGTACAACTCTCATCTTTACACTTTGTCTTTTGAAGTATTATAGTGATATCTGGGGCTCCAAATGTTATGCTATTTTTTTTTTTGAAATAATAGCTTTTTGGTTATGTGCATTGGGGAACAGATTTGTCCCTTGAGCATAAAACATTCACATATCCACACGCGTTGTCATATGCATTGACTTGTAGTTCAGCTGAACAAAACAGATCTACAACTCTCATTTGAATTCCTTTCTCTAACCTCTTAAAGTTTAAACTTTAATTGTCAAGTATTTTTATATTTTTTACGAAACTATATTTTAATTTACAATTTTAAAGTGTATTCTTTGAAAGAAGACAGGTATCTAGAAATGAGATAGTGAAGTTGACCATAGAATATAAGTTGCACCTTATTTTAACATTTTCCTTATAGCCATTTCATTCACCAGTCATTTTTTCACCTCACACAACAATTTAAACATTGAAAAGCAGCTTGCAGCTTATGTAAAATGTTATCAAAGAAGGAAGCTAGCGTTCTTATACGTAATAGCATTTAGCTTATGGCCCATCTCTGCTGATTAAAGGAGAAATTCTCAAGAAAAAAGCCAATTCAAAGAGTAGACTGAACTTTACCAATAGATCTGTATTACTCATTCTAATGGGTTTCAATAGCAAAAGCAATTTGATTTAGAAATTGAGAACACAGTTACTGAAGTTCCACACAGCTGGGTGTAAGATTTTTCCAGGCTTATCTGTGGCCCTGTATGTCTTAGGTGATCAGTTAACTTTATAAGCCTATGCTGCCTCATCTATAGAATAGGACAAACTTAGTGTTCAATGATAATAAACAGCTGGTTGTGGTGCATGTACCACTGGAATTAAGTAATATATGCATCTCATAGGGATTTAGGAAGGATTAAATGAGATAATACATGTACATTGTTTTGCACGTTATCTGGTCCCTAGCAGAGGTACATAAAATTACCCAGAAATAACCAAAAAAAACCCAACAAAACACGCTCTTCAAAATCATTTTCTATATCTATTTTAATAGAGACTTTGGCAAGGACAATCCTGAGGTAGACCTGACTATATAGACAGTATCTTATTTGGGAAGGCAACAGTCAGACAAAGGAAACATTTAAATCCTCTCCTACCTCCATGGTTCATCCTAAGACATGGATTCAAATCAGTTCTCAGTAACTCAGCTTTGTCTGCTGGCTGTGCAGTAATTCTGACCTAGCTGATTTTCACTGAAGCTTAAACACACAGTCCTTCCCAAGTTGCCCACATGCAGCAAAGGTGTGCATGTAAGTTGCCTTTCACTTGTCATGAAACCCAGTGCTTGTGCTCATTTGCTGAGTGCAGTGAAAACAGCCTCATTTAATAGAAGCCCAAACACAAAGAATAGATATGAGTGATTGCTATTCCCAAACTTTCAAATATTGCCCAGCCAACAAAAATAGTTTTCCAATTAGTTACTGTGCAAAAATAAAAATAAGTTTATTTTTTAATAAAAATAACTGAAAATAAGTTTCTACTTAGGCCTCTTAGGATAAACTCTTGAACTGATCTTAAACACAGTCCCTGTGCTGACATGACACCGAAGAAAGCTTCCATTTATTTATTTATTTGTTTATTTATTTATTTTTGGTGTTTTGAGACAGAGTTTCACTGTATAGTTCAGGCTGGTCCTGAATTCACTAGGTTTCCCAGGCTGGCCTTGAACTTACAGCCGCCCTCCTGCCTCAGCCTCCCAAGTGCTGCGGTTACAAGTGTGCGCCACCATGCCTGGCCTAGGAAGGCTTCAGAAACTATTTTCTGTTTCAGAAACTATTGCAAGCTTCTTTGCAACACAGAAGCCTGAGATTCCTTAGACAACAAAAAGGAGTCTGTCTTACTTGGTGATCTCTCCTGCCCTTCCAGCTGTCACCAGCTAACTGTTCCTTTCACGTTGCCGCCTGCGCGCGTCTCTTCTAACTCCGCCGCGTTCTTCCGAGTCTCCTTACCTATAAAGACAGAACTCCCTTACATTTCTCAGCTGGGATAAGGGACCACAAATAGCTAGTACTAGCAGCTCGGAAGATGCGTGCCATTTCAGCCTCAGAGGATGCAGTGAATGGAGCCATGTGTCATTCAGCCCAATTTCCAGCACTAGGTTTTAAGAAGTGCTGGAAATGTATGGAACAGTGGTTTTGAGGGGTTTCTAATCTAATTTATTAAGTGTTTCAGGAATCCTTCTCAGTGACTAAACTATTGCAGAATGTTCACAGCACGGGAAAGTCATCTGTCACATTTCGGCTCATGCATAAACATAGCCTGTAAGTCCCTTGGTCACTGTGTGTGAGCTAGGAGCACCAGTTAGTCAGAAAGTATGATCACAGCCCCCTGGCATTTCGCAGTCCATGATCAGTTATTTACATCCTAGAAGACAAATTGCAAAGATGTATAAGCAACTGAATCAACTTTTTTGTGTGTAGTTTAAAGTAGGAAAAAAAAAAAACCTAGCCTTTTTATTTTTATGCAGAATATGCAATATTTATGTATGCAATGGGGTTAAACTTGTAAATTACAGTTGTCCCATATGGCAATTTTATTCTTTAATAAAAGCAATTTAGGTCTAAGGTGTCTAAATTTTTGTTTCATTATTTGTTTGTTTCATTATTTTTTAGTCATCACAGTTTGAAAGTATTTTAACCTCACACAACCTTGACTGTTAATATTTCCTTCAGGACAAAGTTGTCAAACAGTAGCAATGAAATCTAATAAGGCAGTGTTGTATTAACTCACAATTTAAATCTTTACTTTATAGGAACAGAACATACTTACAAACTAGGGAATTTACAAACGCACACACATGCATAGCAGGACAATCTGAGTGAGCTTCTCAGCCTCATGTCCTCTCCAGGATTGTCCAAGGCTGGTGCCATGTTCCTTGAGCACACAGAAAAAATACCTCAGTCGGGTTTTCTCTTCCATCCTTGCTCATGTAACATGACTGGCCTGGAACCAAAGGGCCAAAAGCCTCCCGTTTCAGGCGTCATCACACTCCCAGGCACCCAGCAAGGAGCAGCCAAGGTCTCACCTTCCCTTCACTGATGTGGAGCTGGCTACCTTGTAGGTGATACCTGCAGTCCCACAGCTCGGGCTCAGGTCTAGGGTTGTTATCCCAGCAGCATTAGATAAGCCTGAAGCCCTCCTAGGAGTAGGATGTCATGGGCTGCAGTCTCTGGAGGACCTGCTTTCCTGTTATTTTTCCATTTTTCCTGTGGCAAAGGAAGGAGAGAGCTTTCTGTTAACTACCAACTATACAATACTATCTTTGCTGAATGAACGAAAGGACTGAATCATTTCAACTCTCGGGAGCTGTCTAGTGATGTTTAAAGATGTCCCATTTAAACTAAAGTCTCTTTCTTTTGCAGATTGCAAGCTCCTTGGTTGTGGCAGACTCAAGAGATTCTGGAATCTATGGTTGCCTGGCTTCCAATAAAATAGGAACTGAAGAAAGAAACATAACTTTTTATGTCACAGGTAAGCTACAACCCTGTATCTACAAGGACAACCTGTGACCTTGGTCCATCTTCAATTCTGTTTGCTCTTAGTGTTCTTATACCCTGAGTCATTTTTTTTTTTTAATCTATGGAATTGTCAGGCTTTGAATACTTTCATTCTTGCTTTCAATCTAGAAATCTACTACATTGTTGGCTCTCCTAAAGTTATTTCCCTAAAAATCTCTGTTAGAATTGTTCCTGTTTGTCTGCCTCCAGACCAGATTGTGAATTTGAGATCTTGTATATTTATTTTGAACTCCTGTTAGTACCTACAGCAGTTTCTCAATAACAAGCAAGGAAACCCAATACCTTTGATGCTGTAGTATTTCTCTTAATGCAGAAGCTAATTGTTTCATAACTTTAGTAATTTAGATTTTGAGTGGAATGAGGCTTTTTCATAGAAATCTTAAATGGACCTTTATCAACAGTAGTTTAATGAGTTTTTAAGAGCATGTAAGAATTTTTTTAAATGATGGTCTCTGAAAATCTTAAAACCTCTAAAGTACACGAATGGCACTCCTTATGTCCCTCCACGGGTACAGGAAGGAAATAAGTAGCTCAAAGTATAAAAACAATTGCCTGGCTCCACACTCCCCCAGCTTCTGAGGAAATCTGGGCAGCCTGCCAATTCTCTGGAAACTTCGCATTGCATGGGACAGACTACAGAGATTGCCTAGAAGTCTCCAGAAAGAAACAGGGAGGGGTAATCTCTGTTGGGTCGACAGGGGTTTAGCCAAGCTCCAGAAAAATCATTCACAGGAGCATCTCACAGTTCACAGCTGGAAGACACTCTTAGAAAGTCATCAGAATCCTAACTTCCACCATCTCCAGACAAGAAAGTAGGTGCTTGAGAGTGAAAGAGGTACAAGGCAGAGCTGCTGTATGCCCCATCGGCCCGTCGTCTCACCATACAGAAGTGGAAAGAAAAACGTCTTTTCATCTTTTCCAAGGGGGGAATTCTGACTGGGATTTCATGTGGCTTGGCTTGCTAATAAATCCAGATGCATTGGATTAATTAAATATAAAGATCTGTATTGTTCTTTATATTTGGTTGGAAACAAGTTACCATCTGAACCCATAATCACTCTATTTAGCGTACACAAGGCTAAGCAATGCTTGCTCTTCTCTCAACAGTCAAAAGTGTGCAACAGCTTAAGAAGCACTGACTACTGAACAGTGCATGTCAGCTCTGCTCCAAGCACTGGAAGGGGAACCAGTGCATCCCTGTTTTTCTAGGAAGACAGCTCTAACACTGAGAAGATGAAGAAATGATAAATTACATGTCTCCTAGTATCAAAACTTGGGTACAGAAGAACGTAATGGGAGCTGTGGGGGAAGCTCGCTGGCAGGCCACTTGCTTAGCACACAGGCTCTAGAGAGCATTATCCTCTGCTCTGCCACAAGGTAGTAATATAGGATGGGGAGCTAGCACAGAGGTCTAAGCGCCTGCCTGGAAAGTGCAAGGACCCAATTTCAATCCCTGGGACTGCATGCAGTGCCATCCCTGGAACCAGTGGCACATGCTTGTAATTCTACCACTGGGAAGGCTGAAACAGGCAGATTACTACAAGTCCAAACTGCATAGCCAGACCTGGTCTCAACAGTAACAAAAAAGGTAGTAATATGATGCAATTTACTCCTTAAAGCCACCACTATCCAACTGTCCAATTGAGAAATAAGACACAAGTATAATTTAAAATTTTTCAGTTACCATATTCTTTAAGAGCAAATTTTACTTATTCTAAATATGCAAAACACTATAATTTCAATATGTAATCAACATGGGAAGGGTTCTGAAGATGGACTCTAAGGTCTTAAAGATGCTGAGCATGTACTTTGTACTTTGCCACTGAGCTACACCTCCAGCACTATAATTAACATTTAAAAATTATTCCATTGTTTCAGTCTTCCTTTGAATCTATCTAAATAAAAGCCATAAAATTCAGTACAGTATTGGACAGTGCCGCCCTAAGTCTCTGAACAGGAGCAGGATGAGACAGTACTGGGGGATGGGGGTGGGGATGAAAAGGAAGAGGAAAGAGGCCGGGCCCCGACATTGGCAGAGCCAAAGTGAGAGGGCCAGAGGTGGCCCACAAACCATTCATTTCACCTCTGGTAGGTTCTAGGTCAAGCCAACAAGCCATTGTATTGGTTCTCATTTCCTCTGGAAAAATGTACCTTCACCAGGATCCAAAAGGCCAGGACAACTTTAGGATCCTGGGACTATTCAGAGCTGACTGCAGCAGCACCAGTGGTGCAGAATTGATAGGCACCTCAGGTTCCCTGCGGACTGTGACCACACCAGCAGGGGCTGTGCACCTGCAGGTGTCTCCCTGCTCCCCATGCCCCGGCTCTTGCCCCTGACTGAGTGTTCTGCCAGCCATTTCTCAGCTGGTCCTAGAGCTGGGCCCACGAACAAGCAGTCTGCTCTCACGAAAAGGAAGAGTCCTACGTCAGCCTGGAAATAAACCTGGGATCATCTCCTTTGGGGAATGTTGGGACCCCAAGGACCCTGAGTGTGATACAGGAACAGGGTGACACAGTCTCTGGGTAGCCTGTGGACTCATCACATCATAAGGAGGCCTAGAGCCAGAACAGAGCCCCCCAGCAGCCGCCTGTATGAACCTTGGTATGCCTCCTAGTGAAAGAGAACTGCCACAAGCAGAGGCAGCAGCATTCACACATCCTTCAAACATTCCTACTGGAAACTGACACTTTTCCTCCAGAAATGCAAGCAGTTTAATCTTAAAACTGAGTGCAAGTTCAACAAATCCAGCCCTCTTTGCCTAGAAGATGCCTTCTTCAAATAATTCACTCCAACCAGTCCGGAAAAAATTCTAGTTTAGGTTAGTGAGAGGTTAACTGTCTTACATTCATTACTCATTTTTAGCTAATGATTATCTTTTCCTTACTCAAATTTACTTCACAAGATTTATGTTCACCAGAAGTAAGAATGAATACTAACATACTATACCTTACACACCTATTTTTCTGAGAAAAATGAATCTACATTTGTTCAGTGCTTAAAAAGTACTTTCCCCAATGAGGAGTAATGCTTTAAAGCTGGCCATCCAAAATGTTAATGCTGTAAAGATCTGGATTTGGATCTTCATTCTTCATTTCAAGTGTGTTGCCCTTTTCTTAGAAAACAAATATTTTGCCTTCAAACTTATAAAACTGGTTATCTGTGCCCTTTAGCATTTTTGACAGCTTCATCTGTCAAAACGTCAGCTGTCCAAACTTCAGCACTCACAAGCACACGGTGATCCACTTAAAACAAGAAAAGTTTTCCAGTAACCATTCACTTTCCTTTCAGAGAGTGCTAGTTACATTCTTCAGTGTAAGAAAAACTTCTATATTTCTACATGATAAATGCGATCTCTTTCATCTTTTTACACATCAGCATTTTTCTCTTCAGTGAATGTAATCCACATGCCTAATCCAATCACGTCAAAGTGTTTACCCCTAGACATTCACCTTTATAAACATACTACTCATTCACCTCACCGCAGATTGGATGTGTCTTCTGAGCCAGGGTTGATTCTTCTCTGTGACACCTCGTAAGGCTTTGCAGATATGACGTGTGTTAAAAAAATGAATGAAGATGAAGACTGTTGGATCTGAAACATACTGAAGTGTGGGAAGATTTCTTGTTTTCACTTAGGGGTCTAGAAGGCAGTTCTTTGTTGGGTCTGTTTTTGTACTCAGGCTAGAAAAAAGTCAACATGAATTAAGGGGAAATCCCTCTGGGATCATTAAGCAACTGAGGACATTCTATTTATCATCTTCCATGGATCAAAAGAGAATACCAAAGGGGTTACATCGAGAAATAGACAATCTTGTCTAAGAGGCTGTCTGATGACTGAAGCCAAATTAACTTCAATAACTGTGACTGTCAAACAAGGAAGAGACCTCAACATGGATTTGATCCTCATCTTTCCTACGTGTGTGTTTTGCAATTTTGCTGGCGCTAGGCATGACCACAGGCGTGTGAGCAGTTACTGAGGGTGAAACAGGAACAGCATTGCCTTATCTCCCTGATTTCCCAGTGTCACTAAATGCATTTTATTTTGAGATTCCTGGTGGTGCTTGGCAAAGATAAACAAAATCTTCCATCAGGAAACCTGTGAGCTATTTCCACAGGAAGTTTCAAATCACTAAAGTAAACAGAAGCCCTCTACATGATCTCAATGGTGTTACTGGGCTCCCTTGGGTTCTGACGAGCAGGATGGGACCTCAGAAGTGGAAAGTTTGTGGTCTTGCTAGAAACTGTCTGTGACCAGTGCAACCAGTGCCCTGGACCTCTGCTCCACTGTCTGTGTAAAATCTGATGGCTAACATTTTAGTCCTTATACTTGGGAAATGTCCAAAATGTAAAAAGATGCTGAGTTCGAATAGCTATTTCTAACAGCTCACTTTTAGGTTTAAAAATGACTGTCAACTACTCCTTCTTCTTGGGGGACATTCTTAGATTTTCATTTTGAAGCACCAAAACCTCCAGTGGTCTCCTCTCTCCTCAGCCACTGACAGCTTCCTACGCCACCTTTAGCCCCACACCCAGCTTTCAAATGAATACTTTGGCATTTCTTCAGACGTGACACTTTATAATACAGCCAAAGCCCAGAAAAATCAGAAAAACAAGCAAAGTGAGATTTAGGAAAGAGTTGATATGATATCTAATTTTGGACTATTGTCCCCTTAAGGTTTAAAGGTTTCTTTATAGCTTTGTGTGCAAAGGATAATAATAATAATAGCATAACATAGTGCTTTTCATCTTCAAAGCACTTTGTAAAATGTTGGCCCAAATTCTTTGCTCAAATATAGATACATCACTAGTAACAAGCAACAGGAGGGTTTGAGAGCAGGTCAGTTCAGGGCCAGTAGCCAGTGATTAAAACGCTCCAGTGAAATGGTCCAAAATGACACTGAGGAACTTGCAGCTCCGAAGCTAAACAAAGGTGCTGGCAGGAGCGCTTGAGCAGGAGCAGCACAGGTTATGGCTGAGACACCTCGGAGCTGGAGCTAGAGGCGAGCTGGAAATTGGCGTGGGGCAAAGGGGCTTTGAAAGACACACTCACCTCCGTATATTATACATGTTTCTGAGAGTAAAGTTGATTTTTTTTTTTAATCTTACAGTTGCACGATCAAACATAAGGTCTCACACATGCTAGGCAAGCACTCTCCCACTGAGTACACTATCACACCCAGTCCTCAATTTGATGTTTTCAAAAATTATTATTTGTAGGGCTGGTGAGATAGCGTAGTAGACTAAGCACCTGCTTAGGGAAGCACAGGGGCTGGGGTTCAATCCCTGAGAGCACGTGCCACACTGGCCCCGCCCCTGGACATGCTGAGCCGGCCACTGAGTCTGGGTGTGGTGGCTCACGCCTGTAATCCTAGTACTATGAGGCTGAAAACACGAGGATCACTATGAGTCCGAGAGCTGCATAGTGAGACCCTGTACCAAATA